TAGCCATTTTGGTATCAAAGTCCCTAATGAACAGGGCAGGTCAGTTGAAACATAATCAATGTAAAATAATGAATTAAATAATTTTCATAAAAACTTATATTATAATTTTTTTTATATAAAAACTAAAATTATACAAACAAAAACTAAAATTATACAAACAATTATATGAGAAGTAAATAAATATCAAAAATAGTATAATTTATTTTAAAATAAGTTCTCTTCATACTTTTGAATTTTTTCATAAATAATTATATAATTATTTTTTAAAATACGGATTTTATTTTCTCCATTTATAAATATACTTTAAGTAATTACTTATTTAATTGTGGAAACAATAATGTTTGCAAAAATCCAGGATTCTACGATACATTAATTTTAAGAATATATATTACTATGCAATAAGGTTTCTAATTATTTTCTGAAGAAAAAAAATCAATGTTTAAAAAATTTTCAAAATATTTATATAGTCCTAGAAAAATCATATTTGTGATTTTGCATTGCTGATTGACGGTAAATTTCTTTTAAAAAACGTTATTTTAGAAAATCTTTATCGTAAAACACACACACACACATAATATTTTATTAAGGTGCACGTTAACTTAGCCATATTTTAATATTTTTAAATGAAAATTTAGATATTCCTAATTCTCTATAACTCTATAGTCTTCCAAGCCATTAAAAAAATTTTTGTTTTAATTTTATTTTTATAAAATAAGGACTAAGTGGATTTTAATAAAACATGCCCATTTCTTTTTTAAAATGACTTTAAAAAATATAGATTTTCAAAATAAAAAATTTGGCTTAAGGGGGACTATGATTACAACGTTATTGTATTGTACAAGACAATTTTTTTATTCTTTATATTAGATTATTGTTTAATATACGAAAGTATGAATCATGCAATCACAGAGGCATGCATGAATTGCAGAAGGAGCAATATGGATGCTGTAACATCATTTCCGCATAAAAAATAAAAAATGAATTTTCTTTTATTATACAGGATGTTTCACAATTACCGTATTTCCTCTTAAAAACCTTATTTTTTAGGTAATTTTAAGACGAAAATCCTAATACAAAAATATCGAGACTACAATAATTTTTGAATTATAATTGGTTAAAGATGTGTGTAATTTGAAAACTATTATAACCTCGATATTTTCGTATTAGGATTTTCGTCTTAGAATATTCAAAAGAATCCAGAAATAATAATAGAGGCTATAAAAGTAAAATGATTTTTTACTTATAAGCATTTAAAGTTAGCTTATAATTCAAAAAATTATTGTAGTCTCGATATTTTCGTATTAGGATTTTCGTCTCAAAGTTACCTCAAGGATATATCCTTAAGAGGAAATGCAGTAGTTGTCAGACATCCTGTATAATTGTTACATATAATTACAATTACATATATAAAATTCAAACAAGTTTGTTTAGTAATTTTTTTAAATAAGTTTCCGAATACCGTCTGTTCTTTTATCTAAAAAGGTAATTTGCTTTCTTAATATAAAACATTTTATTCAATTTAACGAGACGATTATTAATCTTATCTAATCCACCGACAGTTTGGTACCATTAAGAGGATACCAAGGAGAGGATATTGAAATCGTCTTACCGGGGAACTTGACGGTGTACGACATCAACTGGCTCGCGGTATGGTGCGTTGAATACAGACACAATTTCGGGCATGTTCTAATTCCAAAGGACCTCGATGTTCCACCGGCTCTTGGCCAAACGAAAATTACGGTAAACCAAAATGAGTTCTCCAATCTGCCGGTCTGATACGATCCAAACTTTCGTGCCTTATGTACCCTCATTAACGTTTACTGTGAAATGACTCTACTTTACTCTTTGATATACACGATGAAAAGCTTCGCTTTAATAGAGATAAATTGAATGTACTGTTAAGAGGGACATTTGCGTCTTTATATGACAAAATACATGTAGTCGCTAATGTTTTAGATTTAATAGAAATTGTTCCAGTAAGTCTTGCTTTAGTTATTTTTAAGCAACAATATTTTCTTAAAAGCTAAATACAATTAAAAACATGATAAATTTTATATCGAAAAGCCCTCAATCCTGACTTTCTAATAATGAAACTATTAGCACATTTTCCAGTAAGCATCAATTAATAGTTAATAACATAACATTAATGTTATCCATATAACATGCATGTCTAAAGGATCTTTATGGTTTTAGATATCTTTTAGATATAGGGTAAGTTGGGGGAATACGTCACATTTAAGCGAAATTAGATTTTTGTGTAATTATTTGTTTAATTTAAAATAACTTTACATACTGATCTTTTTCTTCTATCCTTTATCTATGATTTGTGTATAATTGGAATCGAATATATTCATTTTTTGTTATTAAAAATAAAGAAATACAAAAGTGCTGAAAAATGGGTAATATGCCATAGAGGTAACATGCTACATACAAAAAAATATAATATATTCAATGTATAATGTATATAATATATATAAAATATACAGGGTGTCTAGAAATTACCGCCAAATGTTTCGTGCGTGGGTAGAACAGACTATACTGAGTCGAACAGTCCTGTACCATTTT